GTGTACAATTCTGTACTCATGACTAGTGATTAAGAATTTGTCCAATTGTGCAGACATGGTTCAGGGAAATTTGTAATAGAAAAAATAATAATATGACAAATACAATAAAATAGAGTAGTGTCCTCACTATGGCTGTAGACATTAATTGGGAAAATTTGGTAAAACACGGAAATTGTTTTAAAAGTGAAATTGGAATGCTGTTTATTTTGTTTATGATTGGTTGATTCACTTATTATTACATCAATGCCTACTTACACAGTTATGTGCTTACAGTATGGTAGAATTCCAATTATACAAATTTATTTGTTCTGTAAGTGATTCAGATAACCAGAAATTTAGATAATAGGATTAAGAAGTGAACAATGAAATTACAGAATAGTAGCACAATATTGTATATGTACTGTATTTATTTATTTATTCATTAATGTGTGAGTAGCATCTTACTGATCATTTTGATCTGTCACATCAAACTATTTTCTACAATAGAAGCAAACTGCAATATTTCATTACCATTTTTCTTAATAATTCTGATACAGTAGTTGCTCCCATGTCATATTTTTCAGCAACACATTTCCCAGATGCTTTTTTTTTTTTTTAGTGCATTGATGATCTTAACATTTTATTCTGTGGTAAGTACAACATGTTTTCATTTCCATGAGTTCATAGACCTGATTAGAGTCACATTCATAGTAAATGTAAGAGAATCGCAGTGTGATGTTAATGGGGGAAAGAGAAAGAAGGACAAGTGGTGGTTTAGATCAGTGTTTTTCAACCTGGGGGTCGCGAAGCCTTACATGGGGGGTCGTGGGTAAAAGAAAAAGACAAGTGTTTGTAGGTCCTACACTACATTAAAAAAAGCACAATTTCAGCGAGAATTACGGCCCACCCCAGAAAATGATAGCCGAAAAAGTGTTGAGCTGATTTGCAAAAAGAAATAAAAAGTAGAAAAGTAGAAGCTGAAAATTCAGATTCTGGAAAAAAAAGTCAACAGTTCCCTGTGCCAAATGTTATAATTAAAGGAAGTTTCATACTTTATGTGTGTTAAATTATTGTCGATTCTTCTAAATTTTCATTTTATCGACAATAATTTGTCTCAACAGAAAGAAAATTAAAAACATAGTTTTTTAAATCACTGATATAGTTTTAATATGGCCCTAGGGGGGTCGCCAGAATTTTTTAACTTGTAAAGGGGTCGCGTATTCAAGAAGGTTGAAAAACACTGTTCTAGAGTTAATGGGTTAAATTGTTGATAGCTGGCGCTTAAGTCACTTGGTTAGTAGGTAGATTTAGCATTTTCAAAAATAAATAGCATCTTAATTTGTCTTATCGGAAACGTTGTTTGTCTGTGGCTGCTGCTAGTGAAAAATTGACAATTGTAACTTTGTATTTCATTTAGTGAATTTTATTTCTGAAATTCATGACAAATACATTTTCTAACAAAAGAAAATCTTTTTCTTCAGTTTTTCAAGAGTCATCTGCTACAAATTTAATAACGCAATCTAAGAATAAAGACGAGGGAGTTTCGAGTGACCCGGCAGAACAATTGATTCTTTCATATATTAAAGCTGGAAAATAATTTTGCTTGAACTACAAATTTCTTCTGATAATAAGTTAAAAACCCTTTTAGAACGACTGATTATTGTAACGTTGGATTCTCGACTGTCGATACTTGAGGACGATAAAAATAGATCGTTACATTACTTTAAAAATAATAATGTCTTTGGAGACAACAAAACGCTGTTAAAATTATTTGAGAGAGAGTTAAAGTTCGAGGATAAAAAAAAGAATAAATCTCTGGTCATCGCGATAATGGAAATGACTAGTTTTAGTACAAAATTTATTTAAAGATATAAATAATTTAAAAATTCCAGAAGTAAATATTTCGTAATATTTTGAAAAGGCTTACAATGATGGAAAATTTTCACAATTACAAAATAGATTGGTTATATGTCAGCTGATGAATCCTGAATATAAAATAAAACATTATAAGAATACTAATTTAAAAAGTACAAATACTTTTATAGATGGTGAATAGTCTGTAGCTATAGATTGATATAAGTTTTTATTAGCGCATCATATACTTTTCATAAATTATATCTCGTTGGTTTTAAATGTTTATCTCTTGGTAGTGTTAGAAAAGGACTAAGAACAAGGACATGTTTAAAGTTCGTCCGTTGAAAATTTTTAAATAAATTTTCAAGGTTTATCATTTTTACATCGAATCGGATTTTAGTTGTGCAGGAGTACCGATATACTAAACAGATAATTTATAAGGAGATTTGTGTATTAGGAAGATTTATGCTATTAATAAACTTCGGTGGTTATAGGTCCAGAGATTAGGATATAGGAGTCATGTGTCATATCTCGAACACGGTCACATTAAAGCTTTTCCTCGTTATTAGCATTTACAATTTTGAATACAGCTCATCTCTTCCCTGAAAATTAAGTTTTTCGCCATTTTATAATAAATAATTATATAAATGTTTTTTTTAATAAATTATCATAACAGATGGCGCCACATAAACTTTTCAGTTTTATCCGGAATACTTATGCAACGCTTTGTTGTATTTTTTTAAAGTTATACAATGATACAGAGTGCAATTTCAATAAATTAATTTTTAATTTCTATTTTTTAGGAATATTTTTTGTCTAGTTGTCTAATTATTTCTCTTGTTCTATTGTCTAATTCTTTATTAACTGTTCTAAACTATAGTAGATCGCGAATAATTTTCTGTATCTATCAGTAATATAGATCACCGAGTTCAAATATTTGTTACGCTCGTTTTAATGCTATACAGTTTTATAACATATTTTCTATCTTAATTTCACAAGTTGGTTTTTTTACTGCTACAAGTTCTACCAAGACAGACATCAATGAATATATGGCGCTCAGAACCTGTAAAACAATATTTTAAAATTATTATATAGCCATACCTAAAGAGATTTCTATATCTAATACAATTTTTACGAATATAAAATGATTTGTGTACATGCAGTTATAAATGATATTTGTACAAGTCTAATAAAGTCTACTACGGTAAGAGAATATATTAAATGAACTTACTCGAATGAAAAAGTCCTTTTTAACATAAAAGAATCCGCCGATGTTTATTCCAAATGGAGTCTTGCCATATCTTTTCATAAAGTTTAGCATCTTTAAACAAAAAATTAAATTTGTTTTTCATATTGAATTTAAAAACCAATCGAAACAATTTTAGTTTATTTGTAAGTTATTACCTTCATTTTAGTTTCTAACGGTAGATCAGCAGAACACAATTTATCGATTTCGATGAATTTTCCGTACAGCTTGAAATGTTAAAATTAATATTATGAAAAACAGTTGTATAATTCTTATAAAAACTCCTATATAATATAGAAATATATGCAAAAATTTGCTTTCAAACGCAATTCAAAAGCACATTTACCCAATAAATCATAGTGTTTTACTAATTTATGTATCCTGTCATTTGTTCGTTTTTTAAATTATTTTAACGTGTGTTTGGAGAAAAAACAAATATGCTAACAAGTTTAATGCTTTATTACAAGGAACAACGAAGTTTAAAAAACTTACTCAAATATCATTTAAATCATTATCTTAAGCTTTTGTGTCTAATTAATACACGGTATTTGCACTCTATTTTAATGGTGAATTAGTGAATTAACCGTTTAAAATTTTAATTGAAATAAACTTTGTACTTTGTTTGATTAAATCACGATTTGTTTAGATCTTATAATATTGCCAATGATGAATATAACAAATAATAATAATAAATCCGTAAAAAGGCTAACAAAAATAATTAATTAAAGGTAATTTATTAACATTGCATTTTTACAGATTAAATTAGTCTGCCCAAACTACAACCCCGTGGCCATACCAGGCACACGGAAACATATTTGACAATCACTCATAACTTTTCTTAAAATTCTTTCCTCCATGTGAGTACTCAAAGCGCCTCTTTTAGAAAGCCTCTTATGGGTTCGGCAAAGTCCACAATGAAGTGACCGGGTGATGCTTAACGGAGTCAAACATATTCACTCGGACCGTCCACCACCCGAAAAATTCTTGTGGCATTTTCGTGCAGTTTAGATTCGAGCCCAGGGTCCCCACAACGGTAGGTTGCCACCGTAACCGCTCGGCCATCCAGCCATCGTCACTCCTAACTAATAGAAGAAGGCCATCTTTCAAAATTTCTTTAAGCATTTTCCGCGAATTAATTAGCAGAAATAGTTAAACAGGCCTGGGAAAAGAAAATAAGCAATCAAAAGATTTTTGTAGGAGAAAAAGAACACTTAAAAGCGAAATACGTCAGTTTTCCATTTATCAAAGGTCAGTGTGAGAAAATAGATAGAGAAACAAGAAAAATGAATAAAAAAATTCGCACCAAAATATGAAAAGTTATCATCTGGAATTAAAACCCGACAACCCACAAAGAAATGAAAACAACCACCAGAAGAAACAAGAAACATTGTATATAAAATCCCGTGTACGTGCAGCGCACAAAATTCTACATAGGAGAAACTAAACAAAAAATGAAAGTAAGACTGAAAGAACATATAGAAGATCTAAAACATCATAGACTCAACTCTGTCTTCCATGAACATTGTACAATAAATGATTGCAATATTGATCAGAATAATATAAAAATCTTACATAGAGAAACAGAAATATGTAATAGAAAATTGAAAGTATACCGGTAGAAATCCTTAAAAGCAAAAACTGTGTAAATAAAAATCTGAGTATAAAAAGAAATGAAAACTGGTTGAAAGTGCTATAAATAACATTCTGAAAATTAGAAATATAAATATAACCTGATCAAAAATAGTAAGTACATTGGTGGTTTACGTATAAAAATTTGACAAAAAATTAAAACCGTAAAAGAGTTTTGTGGTAATTATTGAAAATCACTTACTAAATAAAAATAAGAATTATCATAATTAAATAAATTCAAAAAATTTGATGAGGTTTGATAAAGGAAATAATTAACATTCTTACGCTGTGAGATGGCCAATTCACGATTGGGTGTTTTACCCAATCATGAATTGGCCATCTCACAGCGTAAGAATTAGCTGATTAGCACGGTATTGCACAGCAAAAGCAGCAGGAAAAACGAAGATATAATGAAACGCAAGTGAAGATACAACTGTTTGCTCTTTAACTGTTTTATTAAATTTTACCGAAAGAATAAAAAGGCACGTCGTATTTATTTTGTAAAGGTTATCTTTGGTTCAAAAAGAAGAATAAGCGAAGGTATGTTAATGGCGTATATATACAGATTTTGTCAATCAACGTATTTCTTGATTAGTACTGTATTTGCGATTTTAAACATTTGTTCAAACAGATATACAAGAATAATAAATGTGTAAGCGACATACATATAATGTATTCATCCAATAGAGCCCGGTTTGAAAAAATTGTGATCTTGGGTATGTCTTGTAAAACATCTGAATTCTGAATCATTTATATGTATTTATTACTATTACCTACTACTATTTATTATATGTATGTTACGTACTGTGTGCGTTTTTATAATTTTTTAGTTGACTGAAGAGAGGCATGTTAGGCCCGAAACGTGTAATCTAAACGCATATCAACTAAAATAAAAGATGAAGAAATTCCATGTGATCGATTATTAATCACACTACATAGTTTTTAAACAATCAATAAAAAAACTTTTATACGCGACTATAAAAAATTATATTATGAAATATAATATTCATTACAATAAAAAGTGCTTTTATGATTTCATACTTGTAACAGACTAATGAAAAGCTTATACAAATGGCGCCATATTTAAGTTTGTCTTAGATGCCAAATGTTCTAGCCACATATATAGGTATAAAAATAGTCTTCTTTGTGGTGGCAAATACAAAGATCGGATTTTTGTTTCAGATTTCGCCTCAATTACATAGCGATACGACTAAGTCGAACGAAGTCCTAGTGGCAAGCGTCAAATCCGACATAGGCCACTGTTTTTGAGCCAAGATGGCTGCCGAAACAGGTAAGGAATCGGCCATGTGTTTGTTCAGTGCCTTTGACCAAACAGTTTCTGTCGGGGACGACTACTGCGAGGACCAAATGGGGAACAAATCATTGAATTTAATCAAATTCTAGACTATATTGGGGACAGGAAACGTTGTCTTGTCGAAGATGAAGCCGTTTTTGATGCTAGACACATCGTATTTTGTGGATTAAACTCTAACAACAACACTGAAGTTCATGTTGCTTTAGTGTTGCAATTTCAGATAATGTCATTTTAATACATCTCAATTATAGGGAGAATGCACGTGCAAAGCGGGGCTGTCTGGTTTTTGTAAACATGTGATAGCATGTTTATTACACGTTAACAGGTGAGAAGTATTTAAATATTTTAAGCAGTATACACCATGTTCCAATATAAAAACATTTATTTATAATAATAGTTAAAATTAGTGCCAATCTGAAATCTGCCCTGCTGAGTCATTCAGTACTTATACACTTATGTTTTTATATTGGAACATGGTGTATACTGCTTAAAATATTTAAATATTTCTCACCTGTTAACGTGTAATAAACATGCTATCACATGTTTACAAAAACCAGACAGCCCCGCTTTGCACGTGCATTCTCCCTATAATTGAGATGTATTAAAATGACATTATCTGAGGTTGCAACACTAAAGCAACAACATGAAATTCAGTGTTGTTGTTAGAGTTTAATCCACAAAATATGATGTGTCCAGCATCAAACACGGCTTCACCTTCTACAAGACAACGTTACCTGTCGCTGACGATATAGTATAGAATTTTACATGAATTCAATGATCTGTTCTCCATTTGGTCCTCTCAGTATTCGTCACCGACAAAAACTGAATCGGCTCAGGCACTCAACAAACACATGGTCGGTTCCTTACCTGTTTCGGCAGCCATCTTAGCTGAAAAACAGAGCCCTCTGTCGGATTTTGCGCTTGCACATTGTTTAAAAATGACATAGAAATTCCATTTTTATTTTTCAAGGGTTTTCTAAATCTATTTACTTAATAAGAGAAAATAGGTTTAAATTTAACTTACCAAGGATGAGAACCGAGATAGCTGTAAACTTCCAACTGTAATTACGAGAAGGATAGTTATCAAAATAATAGAAAGTGCGAGACGCATTACATTATCACCATCAAAGAAAACCACTGCGCAGAAGATGAAACTTGTTTCATACACTGCGCTACAATATACGACTGGAAAATATGCTTCACATACTAAGTTTACTTCTTGTATATAAGTCCATAAATCCCAATGAGTTTGAATCAAGGTTTCGATTTTAGTATTCAGGAAAATTTCATCTTTTCTCAATTTGTCGACTACATCAGATAAATACGTGAATCTTTTCGAGAGCATTACTGCACCTGCACCTATAACAAGTATGCAAACGTTTATTTGTCCAGCTCCATAAATGAACAATAACGTAATATTGAGATTACAGAATGCGAGTTCAAACTGTGAATTAGTTATTTGTTTTAATGTAGGATACAGAAATAAGTCAATTACAGTAATGCCTGGAATTATTGCAAAAAATAAATTTGTAAGGCCAGTTATAAATACTGTTTGAATATCATGTGCTATTCGTTCCTCTCCTTCGTATCCACTGTTATTTCTAGGAAAATAAAGTCTCTTCCTTTTAAAAAAGCTAAATTGAAGAGACAAAAAAACAAAATAGGATATTAGAATAAATTTGATAAATATTTGATTTTTAGGGAACATTTGGATCCATCCGACACACACCAAATTGTCTGTTAGTTCCTGAGCAGAAAGTAATAAATTAGCCCACATAAAAATCTCTACAGTAGTTTGGTACAAAGAATATAACTTCGACAAATATTTCCTGTTTCCTATCGACTTCTTACAATCGCAATACATTATTTTAATTCCAAATACTTCTGACGGTAAGAGGACCGGTTGTAGAAAACACACAAAGCATAAACTTCGCTTTTTGTAACTTGTATACATTTTTTACTCTTAGCTATCGAAAGAGGTAACGTAAATGCAAAGTATTTCAGATCTGGATTTAGGTCTGCGATTCTGTCGCAACGTATTTCGCTAAATAAACTAAATGTACTGTACATTTTCATGAAAGGATATTACATAAACGATTGATTTTAGAGTTGCATTGCAATCACATGACTGTAGCTTTATCAGTGACCTTCACTTGTAAGCATATACCGTATTTTCAATACATTAAAAGCATCTTATTTCGCTTGTAAGATTTAAAATAAAGAGATCCACTGTTAGTTGGAGCTGTTATGAGGACGTGTTTGCACCAAGGCAATTAGGAAAGTTCCATATTGGCCAAAATTCTTCTGATATCTTTAACCATTTTTTCGGAGGTGTTGGCACGCATTCTTCTGTCATTTCTTGTATGATTGCAGTACTTACTTTTACAATTATATTATGCCCTCTTTCTTGACCTGGGTACCGATCTGTCGTACCCCCAATTGTTAAGCAAATAGGCCAGGGTACCGATTCATCGAAACCCTGTTAAAAATCGATTTTTATAAAATTTAACGACGACAGATGTCAGCACTTGACGGCAGCGTCTTGTTTATCGTCTGTTTTACATATTTTTGTCCAGGTGGTGTTTTGTTGACTGAAAAAATTTTAATTAATTCTTTTTTTTCTTAATATTTCATTTCCTGATAATTTTTTATTTTATTTTTATCACATTCATGCAATAATATTACTATAGTAAGTTTATTCAGCTATCAGAAGTCAACCTGTTATAAATATTTAAGTTGTGACCTTCAGTTCTGATAGTGGCCAGGTGGACTCCATCTCCGCTTAAATGGTGGTGACAAGACCCTAATCACCGGAGTTCGATCGGGGGTTCGCGCCTCACTCGGACGAGATGGCAGCGGGAGTTTTTTCCGGTTTTTTCTCCTTGCCAATGACGCCTGAATAGGGGCCAGCTTCCCCTCCAAGTCCTCCCGGATGGCATGCTGTCTCCCTTTCTCGCGGGGGTCATCTCTTATAAGGCCATCTTTGGTCACTTCGTGACCTCTCTCCTGTCTTCTTGGATTGGTCGTCTTCGATAAGACCACCTCTTCGGTCGCTATGCGATCCGCCCCACTGTTTTTTCCGGAGTGAAAAGCGACCAGCTGCAGCACTCCTCTATCAAAGGTTGAAGTGAAGGTTCAGTTCTGATATTTTAGATATTTTTTTAATTTTTATTTTAATCTAAAATATCAGCAAACGTTACATCTATTACTACCGGTAATCATATTTTTATTACAAAAATTTATATTATTGTTGGACATGACGTGAATAAAGTATATTAGTTCATTATATTAGTTAGTAGCAGAATAAAGCGATAATTTCACAACGAATAAACATACATGCATAATTGTTACATGGAATTGTTCCAAACAATATTCTAAGTCTTTCTGGCTCAGTGTCAGCAAAAACTAAGTAATTAGACAATGTTAGTTTTGACAAAATGTTACAAATTATCAAGTTTAAATGTCAGTTCTGATATATATTATTTTTTTCTTATAAATTTTTCTAATAAAATGTATTGAAAAATATCGTATTTAAAACTAAAGATATTAATAAATGTACATGATTTTTCATATGAATATAATGATAATTTGATTTTTGGTGAATTTTAAAAATAATATCGCCTGACCGACCTTGACTGACTTATATTGCCCTCAGCAGTTTTACAACATAAATGTAAACAAGAAGGTGTAGCAAATGGTCAGAAAAAAGTGCTCTAACCAAGTCGATAACTGTATGCTATAGTTAGGTAAGAGTCTCTGGTTGCCAAAAATCTGCAATAAAGTTAAACAAGTCATTTTTTGTTTCAGATTGTGACTGCAAGAAAACATGGGCTTTACTGCGTGATGCATTCCGACGTGCCATAAAAAACGAAAAGAAACTAAAAGTGGACAAGCTAGTGTATCTAGGAAAAAATGGAAATATGAGGACGAGATGTCTTTTCTGTTGCCATATTTCAAGGAAAGACCCGCTATTGGCAATGTTCCAGCTAACCATGTAGACAAAAATAGTGATGCTGAAGAAAATTGCTCTGATGAAGATAATCAAGCAAGGTCAGCTTCTCCTGAAGCTATAATAGCACACTTCACTCCACCTCCAAAGCGGTCAAATATTACCGAAGTAACTGTGACCCAGCCATCTACCTCTAAAAAGATGCATTCAATTTCAGGATTTTCACAAAACTACGCGCCAGTGCAAAACTAAAATTCGCAAAGAAATAATTCCGCAACCTATTTCTAGTGAGACTCCTTCAAACACGCTAATGAAAGTTATATTTGAAAATAAAGCCAATTTCATTCATAAAGCGACATTCAGCAATTTTTTGATACTATCGTTACCACAGTTCAGTCATTCCCTCCTCGAGATAGAGCAATAGCAAAAGCTAAAGTATTTAGAGTGATATCAGAAATTGAGCTAAACATTCTAAGAAGAGGTTCAAGTACCCATTCTGAATATGAAGGTTCGCATGCATCGTATGAAACGCAAATACCAGAACAACAAAACGATTTGTATAACAAAACATCACCACAATCGCCTTCACCCGGTTCAGTACAATGGAACAACTTTTCTAATGATAAGTCATGACTACAAGGAGTCAATAATATCCAAGAACCAGAAATACAACGACTGGACAGAATACAAAAAAATAACACCTGAATACTCAGTACAACATTACTTTACTACATATGTCTCAGAATAAAGCAAATTTTGTTATATCTATAATAAGTTTTCCTGAACCAAATTTTGTACCAAAATCGAGAAAAGGGGTAGTTGCAGGTACTCTTAGTAACCTTTTGTAAAATTTTAATATCTACATGAATAATAAAGTTCTTACCTCAAACAAACAGCTACTTTTTCTCTAGGCGATAAAGACTCCTTGAACTTTGTGTCTTGCTTAGTTATCATTTGTTTAATTCTAGTTACAATGGTCTCGAACTCATATTTACTCATCCTAAAATATTTCAAAAATCTGTCCTCATTGTTCACAAGCTCCTTCAATAACACTGGTCAACAGCCTAAAAGCTTCCGAAACAAAAGTAGCTGAATAAAACTAATTCAACGGTGCTGAATATGAATATGNTGATAATTTTTTATTTTATTTTTATCATATTCATGCAATAATATTATTATAATAAGTTTATTCAGCTATCAGAAGTCAACCTGTTATAAATATTCAAGTTGTGACCTTCAGTTCTGATAGTGGCCAAGTGGACTCCATCTCCGCTTAATGGTGGTGACAAGACCCTAAACACCGGAGTTTGATCGGGGGTTCGCGTCTCACTCGGACGAGATGGCAGCGGGAGTTTTTTCCGGGTTTTTCTCCTTGCCAATGACACCTGAATAGGGACCAGCTTCCCCTCCAAGTCCTCCTGGAAGGCATTCTGTTTCCCTTTCTCGCGGGGGTCATCTCTTATAAGGCCGGCTTTGGTCACTTCGTGACCTCTCTCCTGTCTTCTCGGATTGGTCGTCTTCGATAAGACCACTTTTTCGGTCGCTATGCGATTGGCCTTACTGTTTCTTCCGGAATGAAAAGCGACCAGCTGCAGCACTCCTCTATCAAAAGTTGAAGTGAAGATATTTCAGTTCTATCTAAAATATTTCAAAAATCTGTCCTCATCGTCCACAAGCTCCTTCAATAACACTGGTCAACAGCCTAAAAGCTTCCGAAACAAAAGTAGCTGAATAAAACTAATTCAACGGTGCTGAATATGAATATNTCAAAAGTTGAAGTGAAGATATTTCAGTTCTATCTAAAATATTTCAAAAATCTGTCCTCATCGTCCACAAGCTCCTTCAATAACACTGGTCAACAGCCTAAAAGCTTCCGAAACAAAAGTAGCTGAATAAAACTAATTCAACGGTGCTGAATATGAATATGACAATAAAAACGTTATCTTGGCTCTAGTTTTTAAGATTTCGAACCAAATATGTCAAATTTTTGGAAAAATTGCTATTTTTCTATAGTTCTTGAAATGTATTCCTATACAGCTTAAAGTACATTTACTTGAATGTCTGTGGAAAGAAAATAAAACAATCATTTTTATGACAGCTCTCAATATATGGTACAAACAATGCAAACGGAGACTTTTCATTGACTCCTCCAAG